ATTTTTAGTAGAAATGGGTTTTCACCACCTTGGCCAGGCTGGTCTTGAACTCCTGACCTCATGATCCACCCGCCTTGGCCTCCCAAAGTGCTGGAATTACAGGTGTGAGCCACCGCGTCTGGCCAATTAGATTTTTCCTCATGTGTTTTGATGTGCTGTTTTTAGACACAAATGTTTTAATGATTGTTATATCTTCTTGGAGATATGAGTCCTTTATCATCATGTAACATCCTTCTTTATCCCTAATAATTTTCCTTGCTCTGAAGTTTGCTCTGTCTGAAATGAGTATAGCTACTGTAGCTTTCCTTTTCATCATGGTATATCTTTCTCTTTCCATTTACCATTTATATATATATATATGTCTATTTATTTATTTACTTATTTTGAGACAGAGTTTCGTTTCTTGTTGCCCAGGCTGGAGTGCAATGGCATGATCTCGGCTCACCGCAACCTCCACTTCCTGGGTTCAAGCGATTCTCCTGCCTCAACCTCCCGAGTAGCTGGGATTACAGGCATGCACCACCATGCCTGGCTAATTTTGTATTTTTAGTAGAGACTGAGTTTCTCCATGTTGGTCAGGCTGGTCTCAAACTCCTGACCTCAGGTGATCCACCTGCCTTGGCCTCCCAAGGTGCTAGGATTACAGTCATGAGCCACTGTGCCCAGCCTATATATGTCTTCACATTTAAAGTGAGTTTCTTGTAGTCACCATATAGTTGGGTCTTATTTTTTAATCTGCTTTGACAATCTCGGTCTTTAATTGGTGTTTTTAGACTATTGATGTTTAAAATGATTATTGCTATAGTTGGATTAATATCTGCCATGTTTGTTGCTATTTTCTATTTGTTGCCTGATATGGTTTTGCTGTGTCCCCACCCAAATCTCATCTTGAATTGTAGCTCCCATAATTCCCACATATTGTGGGAGGGACCTGGTAGAGTTAATTGACTCATGGGGGTAGTGAATACGTTCTATGAGATCTGATGTTTTTTTAGTGGAAACCCCTTTCACTTGGTTTTCATTCTCTCTCTTGCCTGCCACCGTGTAAGACGTGCCTCTTCCCTTCTGCCACAATTGTGAGGCCTCCCCAGCCATGTGGAACTGTGAACCCATTAAACCTCTTTTTGTTTATAAATCACCCAGTCTCAAGTATGTCTTCATCAGCAGCATAAAATCAAACTAATACATTGCCCTTGTTCTTTGCTACTATTTTTGTCTCTACTCTTTTTCTGTTTTTTGTGGTTTTTACCAATAATTTTATATTCCATTTTCTCTCCTTTCTTAGCATATCAATTATACTTCTTTTTAAAATACTTCTTTAATGGTTGCCCTAGAGTTCACAATATACATTTACAACTAACATAAAAGTCCTCTTTCAAATAAAAGTATACTGCTTCATGAGTAGTGCAAGTATCTTATAATAGCAACATAATTCTAATTATTCCCTCCCAGCCCTACATTATTGCTTTATTTTGTGTAATTATTTACACTTAAACTATGTCATCAAATATATTGTTGCTATTATTTTGAACAAGCTATTATCTGTTAGATGAACTAAGAATAAGAAAAAACTATTTTACCTTCAATTATTTCTTCTCTGACGCTCTTCCTTTCTTTATGTGGATCTGAGTTTCTGACCTGTGTTATTTTCCTTCTGTCTAAAGAACTTCTTTTAGTGTTTCTAGCAAGGCAAGTGTACTGGCAACAAATTCTCTCGATTTTGTTTGTCTGAGAAAGTCTGTGTTTCTCCTTTACTTGTAAAGGATTTTCACAGGATACAGAATTCTAGGTTGGTGCAGTTTTATTTTGCTGTCAACACTTTAAATATTTCACTCCACATTCCTCTTACTTGCATGGTTTCCGAGGAGAAGTCAGATGGAATCATTATCTTTGCCCCTCTATAGGTGTATTGGGGAAATTATCAGGCATAATTACTTCAAATGTTGCTTCTGTTTTTTGTTTTGTTGTTTTGTTTTGTTTTGTTTTTGAGACAGAGTCTTGATCTTGTTGACCAGGTTGGAGCGCAATGGTGTAATCTTGGCTCACTGCAAGCTCCACCTCCCAGGTTCAAGCAATTCTCCTGCCTCAGCCTCCTGAGTAGCTGGGATTACAGGTGCCCACCCCCACGCCTGGCTAATTTTTGTATTTTTAGTAGAGATGGGGTTTCACCATGTTGGCCAGACTGGTCTCAAACTCCTGACCTTGTGATCTACCCGCCTCAGCCTCCCAAAGTGCTGGGATTACAGGTGTGAGCCACCGTGCCCGGCCTCCTCTGTCTGCTTTTAAGAGTTTCTCCTTGCTTTCTGTTATCAGCAGTATGAATATGACATGACTAAGTGTTTTGTTTATTTTTTTGGAATCCATTGCTTCCTAAATATTTTGTTTGGTGCCTACCATTAATTGGGATAATTATTGGCCATTATTTCTTCAGATTTTCTGCCTCATTCTCCTTTTTTCTTCTGGAATTCTAATAATGCATAAGTCAGATCATGTGGCTGTAAGATAAGTGGCCTAAAACAACACACACTTATCTCAGAGTTTCTGTGGGGGCAGGAGTTCAGGCACAGCTTAGCTGGCTTATTGTTGGGTCTTACGAGGCTACAATTAAGGCGTCAGCTGGGTTGCATTCTCATCTGAAGGCTTGACTGGGGAAGGATCAAAGCCCCCTCAGATTCTTGGCAGAATTTGTTTCCTTGAAGTTGTAGGAATTATGGCACCTTGCTTCTCACCCAGCAAATGAGAGACCCTTGAGAATGAGTCTGCGAGCAAGATGGAGTTTTGTATAACATCAGGTGATCGGGGAGGGACATCCTATCACCACTGCCATATTCTGTTGTTTAAAAGCAAGCCACAGGCTCTGTCCACCCTCAAGACGAGAGGATTATTCAAGGATGTGAACACCAGGAGGCAGGGATCACGCATCTACCTTAAAGCCCGTCCACCCCATAGGGGAAGAATATTAAGGCAAGAGCTGAATCTAGTGTTTAGCGGAGATCCTGGAGATATAGATTTTAGGATCATCAGCATATGGATGGCATTTAAAGGACTGAACTGGATGAGCTCACTGAAGATGTGGATAGAAAAGATGTACAAGGACTGAGGCCTGAGACGAGGCACCCTGATGTTAAGGAGTCAAAGTGTTACCAGTGTGCCCTGGGATCTTGTAATCTCCCAGGATAGAAATAGAGATCAGCAGTCGTAGCAGCAAGGAGAAAGAGAAAGCTTTATTTCGCTTGTGCACAAGCAAGTCAGCACCGTGAAAGGAAAACGGTGGGCTACCCCCGGGGGGGGGGTGGCACGTGAGTTAGTTTCACAGGGAAGGGACTGGTCCAGGCATGGATGGGAGGGGTTTGTCTAGCGCTTCTCAGTAGCTTTGCATGCTTCTTCATGCATCACATGCAACATGCACATTTTAAATCTCTATCCCTAGGTGTGATTTTTAGCGTGAAAATGAGGAAGGGGTAACTATAGTTGAAATTTAAGTCTAATTGCACATGTGGAACCCGGGGAAGTCCCTTGGCCCCTAAAGCAAGAACTTGTGCTTAATAGCTTCTTGGGTCTTGTGCTGTGGATTGGCTGGAAGTTAAGCTAAAACTTAAGGAAGGGGCTTTCCTTCTTTTCCTCTAAACCCCATTAAAACAGGCAAGTGGCCAGGTTGCCGGTTTCAGAAGGAGAGACGGGTAACTGAGACTTGAAGATGTGGTCTCCGGGATAAGAGGAAAGTGAGAGACACGTGGTATCCTGGATGGGGAGTGAAGAAAGCGTGTCTGGCAGGAATGACTTATCGATTCTGCTGTAGTTCCCGGAGGACGAGGACTGAGAACTGACCACTAACAATATAGAGATCACAGACAAGAGTTTTTGGTGGAGTGGTTGTGCTACTGGTAAAGGGTCCTGATCCAGACCCCAAAAGAGGGTTCTTGGATCTTGTGCAAGAAAGAATTCCAGGCCAGTCCACAGAGCAAAGTGAAAATAAGTTTATTAAGGCAGCGAAGGAATAAAAGAATGGCTACTCCATAGAGCAGGGTGTTTCCAAAAGTATGAGGAGGAAGGCGTCCACCTGGATACAACGCTTGTTTATATGTAAGATAAAAGCCAAAAAACATCACGGGGGAGACATGCTGTACTACCTGGGCTCGTCAAACAAAGGATTGCTAATCTTTGCGTAACGCCTGTCCTCCGCGAGCATCTATATCATGATTTTTAAAGCGAAACTTCAACTAAGAATGCTTTTACTTCTTAAGATACCCGGACATCAGGACCTAAGTCTCGGGTCTGCTGGGTAAACATTAACCTGTGCCCGTGACCGTAAACGCCCGATTCCTGGGGATGCAGCGAGCGGGGTTCGGCCTCAGTTTACCCAGCGCTGTTGGAGCTGGAGTCGCTCTGGCTGGAGCGCCTGACCGCGGGGGGCGAGGTCAGGCCGGACTGGGGTTCGCAGCGAGCAGGAGGGGAGCGGGGCCCCTGCGGAGCGGCGCTGCGGGGAGGCCGAGGGCAGGGCGGGCTCGAACTCGGGCTCTTCTGGCAGCGCCTCCATCCCCGTTCCGTTCAGCTGGCAGCCGCCCCGGGGAGGAACCGCGCCCCATCTTTAGCCCTTTGCAACAGAAAGGCCCTTCCTCCCGCAGTCAGCTGAGGGAAAGATCGCGCTGGAGGGGATGTCGGGCCTGCCCCTGGTTTGTTCCGGGCCACAGTTCCCTCCCTTCTCCGAGCGGGCCGCACGGCCGCAGGTCACCCCCGCCAGGTGGCCAGGTCCTGCCGCCACTCGGCAGAGGACCGAGGAGGAGCCAAACTGTCCAGACTGCAGCGCCGCCACACTCGGGTCCGCGCCGACGGCCGTCACGACTGGGCATGCGCAGACGGCCCCGCCGGGAGCCATTTCGCTGAGCTGCGGGGCTCGAGGACAGAGCGGGTGCGCAGGCGCCGGGCAAGAGGCTGTCCCTGCCCGACACTGGAGCGCGCGTGCGCGAGAGAGCCGGAAGGGGCGGTGCCTGGAGCGGCGCCTGCGCAGTGGAGTGGCCCTGGGGGCGGGGCGCGGCGCCTGTCAGCTGACTGTGGCGGCGGCGGCCTCGAGGTGACAACTGTGTCCGTCGCAGGCTCCGGCAGGGGCGCAGGAGGTCGCCCGGCGCGTCACTCTCGGGTCGGCGAGCCGCGGGGGCCGCCGCAGCACCATGGCGACCACCGTCAGCACTCAGCGCGGGCCGGTGAGGCCGCCAGGCGGGGGTCGGGCGGGGGCGGCGACCTGCGGCTGCGGGAAGGGCCTCGAGCCCGGGCTACTGCTCAGCGGCGGCGGGCGGGCCGGCTCCTTGGCTCTCCCGGGGTACGCGGGGCGCCCGGCCGGCCGGCCGGAGGGGAGCGGCGGCGTCCCCACCTCGGGGCGGGGCGGGACGGACGTGCCTACGCTGCGGGAGGCTTGAGCTCCCGGTCGCGCCCGGGCAGAGCTTTGGGGAGGCGGCGCCGGGGGAGGGGGCCTGCGCCCGTGGTGAGCCCCAGATGGAGGTGGGCCCCGTGCCCCATGGTGCCCAGATGGAGGCGGGCCCCAGCTCTGATGGTCTCCCAAATGGAGGAGGGCCCCGCACCCTAACGGTCCCCCAAGTGGAGACGTGCGCGCACGCTGATGGCCCCCCAGGTGGAGGCGGGCCCTGCACCCTGATGGTCCCCTAGATGGAGGCGGGCCCTGCACCCTGGTCGCCCCCCAGGTGCAGACGGGCCTACACTCTAGGTGGTCCCATAGATGGAGGCTGTTTCCTCTTTCTCCCTTACACAGAGTGAGGGTAGTGGTGACCACTTCTTGGGCCCAATTGTGTCCCCAGTTTGTGGCCACCGCGCAAAGCCTCAGTTTCTTCATTTGCAAATGAGAGGATAGGCGCCAAGAACTTCAGAGAACCTTTCCTGCTCTGAATTCTCTCCTGAGGGTTGCCTGTCAGTTTCTTCTATAGCATTAATATTGCAGGAGAGCTGGTGTAGACTGACTCAGAGATGATGGGCTCCTGGCGTGAGTGGCCTCCGGGCTCACTGTTAGGGCCTTCTTGCATTGCTGTAGAGGAATACCAGAGACTGGGTATTTTGTAAGAAAAGAGATTTAATTGGCTCCCGGTTCTGCAGGCTGTACAGGTAGCATGGTGTCGGCATCTGCTCCTGGGGAGGCCTCTGGAAGCTTCCAGTCATGGCGGAAGGCCAAGTAGGAGCTTGCACGTCACACGGCGAAAGCAGCAAGAGAGTTGGGGGTGGGGAGGTGCCACACACCTTTTAATGACCAGATCTCCTGAGAACTCCCTATCACCAGGACGGCACCAACCCACGAGGGATCTGTCCCTGTGACCCACACGCCCACCCTGCCAGGCCCCACCTCCAACGCTGGGGGTCATAATTCAGCGTGAGATTTGGCGGGGACGCAGATTCAAACCGTGCCACTCACTGAGGCTGGGCTGGGCGGGTTGTCCTGAGCGGCACAGTTTTTATCAACAGTGGCTCTGAACCTGCCGTGGGCGGAAAAAGTCCTTTTTAGGATGTTCCAAGGTCCCTGCACTCGTGCAGCCCAGTACTGGACGTGGTGGAGGGGTCACCAGGGCTCCCCACCCTTAACACTGTATCCACACGTCCTGGTGTTTCTCCTGAGGAGAGAATGCTTCAGGTAGAACATTTTTTTCTGTGTTTAGAATGAAGCCCCAGGTTTTGGACATAGATGCTTTTTCTGAGGACTTTGAAGGAGACCTCCTGACACTTAAGAGACTCAGGTGTGGAGCCTACGGGTCGGCAGAGGTCCTGGACGGCCTCTGAGACTCAGGTGTGGAGCCTGCGGGTCGGCAGAGGTCCTGGACGGCCTCTGAGACTCAGGTGTGGAGCCTGCGGGTCGGCAGAGGTCCTGGACGGCCTCTGATGTCAGCATCTCCACCTCTTCATCTCCGTTCCACCACAGTGAGTCCCTGCAGGCGGTTGTGGCAGTGAGGTGCTCCTTTCTGCCTAACCGGAGGCTCATAGCAACAAGGGAACTGGCACCCTGCCTTTGTGTCCTCCTGGAGAGCCGGGGGATGTGGTGGCCGGGCAGGATGGCCCCTTCCTTGCTGTGTGGTCTGGGAGACATCCTCAGCCTCCTGGGAACTTGTCCCTCATCTGGAACCCCACTGGGGTGTAGGGCTGGGTTTGAATTCATCAGGTGCTGAGCACTCACGGAGCAGTGGGAGGCAGGCCCTTCCTGTTCTGAGGGCACCGGCGTGCAGTGCTGCTACTCCCGCGATGAGGAAGTGGGAGCGGCAGGAGATGTTCTCATATGTAGGGCCTGTGCTGACAAGTGCTGAGGTGTTGTTAGCATCTCCTCTTGCCTGGTGCCTCCTGGGCTGTTACCGTCACATAGACGAGCAGGCACTTCAGGGGCACCCCCGCTGCCCAGTAAATGCACAGTAACATCAGATCTGGCTCGGAACTGCCAGGGTCTCCAAGAAGGTGGTGTCAGCGACGGGGTCTCGAGTGCTGCTTGGAGTACCTGTGACTTAATCAACCAGCGTTACCAACTGTGACGTTTAGGATGGCCACGATACAGGGGCAACCAGGTGGTTCCTGCCACTGGGATCTTACAGGGCGGCACGGTAGACATGGCAGCACATAAGGACAGCGGAGTCATGTGGTGACGGCCCGGTGGGTCTGTGATCTTAAGCCTCAGGTGCTAGGAGAGTTTGTAAATGGTGGCCTCACCAGGGCTGGGTGTTGGAGTGAGGACATGACATCTCTCCTGAGCTTGGAGGAGGAATGGGAGTTGGGGGGTGGGCTGGGAGGGGAGTGCACGGAAAACAGAGGTGTGGGGTCTGGAGGTCGAGAGGAGGGAACCCCAGGGGCTGAGGATGGAGGGAGGCAGGAGCTGGTGGCCACAGGAGGGTCCTGGGCACAGGAGGGGTGGACTTGGCCCTGGAGTTTGTCGGGTCAGCGTAGCACTCTGTAAAGTGTTGCCCGGCACACGCCCGCTGCAGGGCCCACTTGGCACCGGCCTGCTTCACTGAGCATGTGCCACCCCAGCCCCTCTGAATTAACTCATAGTGGGCCTTTAGCCAGTGTCTTGACACAGTATTTATCGTGTGCTCCACTTTCTGTTACCCTTGCGGTGCTGGGGAGGCAAGAGGTTAAGCAGGTGCTCGGCTTTCCAGCAGAGAGAGATGCTCCCCAGGGTCTGGGGGCAGGACTCTGGCTCGGGAGACCCTGACTGTGGTCATTGCCTCACCCTGGTGGTGAGGGGAGACAGCAAGATCCCACGGGTTGTGAAGGAGCAGAGGCCGCTAATGGGGCCCTGGGAGGTTCTTTTGTCCTTGGGTAGAGGGAGCTTCAGGGGCCTGGGTGGGTAGGTGTGGAGAGGATGTGTGTGAAGCTAGCCAGCCCGTTATCGTTCTGAGAGAATCATACCCGTGTTTAGATCTTCAGGATAATGTTTCCATGAATAGCCACTAAGGGATGCTTCAGCCCTGTGCAGTGCTTCCCTCACTTTTCAAAAAGGCCAGTGTTTTGGAAAGATAACCTTTTTTCAATATAGTTTGCATATTATCAGAAAGCACGCAAGGAGTACCGTGTGAGCCCCTGCATTTTGCAGTGAGAACTCGGGACGTTTGCAGGAGACTCTGCCTTCAGCCACCGCGGCACCATCGGCTAGAGAGGCCTCCTTGGTAGAGGTGGGTGCGCCGTGCCGGGTCCAGGCTGCTCCTACTCCTTGTCCTGCTTTTGGAGGTGCTGGTTGACCATGGAGTCCAGCTGGAGGCGGCCTGGCCCCTCATCTCCTCCCTTAGAGGCCTGTGCCTGTCCAGGTCCCCTCACTCTTCACATCGTTGATAATTCCTGCCGAATCCGTGCCTTCATTAGGGATGGCGAGGGTAGTTTCTGAACTTTATCACTTATTCAGTGTTTATTGTTTGTAAAGATTAGCTTTCCCTGTCAACCAGTGTCAGCCTGTTGTCCTGAAATACAGTTTGTGAAGGAAAGGCAAGTGAAATGCTTTTCCTTCACCTTCCCATACCTCAGGGAGAGAATTGGTTTTCCTTGTAGGTGTGCGTGGACTTCCTCTCCCGAGTGTCGTGAGGAGCCCCTGGATTTTCCTGCGTCCTGTGTGTCTGAGCCAGTGGCACTCACCTGTCTCCACCGGCTCAGGCGGGCCGTTGCTGGGTGGGCGTCCATTCCTGCGGCTGCACCTGAGCCAGTGGGGAACGCACTCACCGCCTGCCCTTGTGTCCTTTCTCTCTAGGTCCCTGTGAACATTTGTGCCGGGTTTTTTAGGCCGGGTTGTGAGTGTGGACAGGTGTAAATTGCTGTGCTTGCCTGGAAATCAGATTTCTTCATTGGGTGGGGACCCACGGGCCTCTTGGAAGATAAAGGCCTTTTGCCTTTAATTATTGTGTCTGATACTGGCATGGCCACTCCAGCTGTCTTTTAGAGAGTATTCACCTAGTATTTTTTCCTTCTTTGATTTTACATTTTTTTGAAAAGTCAACTCTAAGAAGTCTAAGTCTTTTGATGGGAACATGCTAGTTTCATTTTTCTAGTTATAGACGTCTAGTTGTATACACAGATTTACAGATTTTTTAGATATTTTCTTTTGTGCTTTTATATTTGTCCTACATTTTCTTGTTTCTTTTTCTCTCATTGCCTTCTTTTGGATTTATTAAACGGAGTTTTAAAAAATTCAGTTGTTTATCTCAAGTACATACACACTGTTCTGGGAAAGTGCAGGGTCTCTCCTGGAAATGGTAACATGCACTTATCAGCTTCTGCCGTGAGGGAGTCTCTGAGTGAACTCTGGCTCCGGAGGCTGCCCGACTGAAAAATAATTAAAGAAGAAGTTAATCATTGTCTGTGCCGCCTCCTGATCCACGCAGAGACCTCGGCCGCCCCGTCCCAGCACGGGTGCTGCTGTGCCTTGTGTGGGCGCTGCCTCCCCCTGTGACTCCCACAGGAACGTCCCGCAGGAATGTGTTATTTCTCTCGAGTCAGTGCTTGTTTGGATTCCTTCTGTGTTTATCTCTTTTCTTATCCCTTCTGTGTCTCAGGCCTTCCATTTGGGGTCACTTTCCTTTAGCTTCAGGTTCATCTTTTAGAATTTTCTTTGCTGGCAAACTTGATTTTTGCTTGTAAATGCCTTTTCTCTGTGTCCTGACAGCTATTTTTGTGTGTGTGGAACTCCGGGTGGACGGTCCTCTGGGTGGATGGTCCTCTGGGTGGACAGTCCCTT